TAACTTAAGATCTTGGTACTTTTGTATTATCTGTATATCAGTTTAAAGTATAAAAATTAACTTCTTAAATTTATTATTTAATGGAGTCTCAGAAAGTGCCGCAGAGATGACAAAATTAAAGACAAACTATTTTGTATTTATATTTTTATATATAAAAGAGTTGTTACATTCTGGTACAGCCGCCAGCACTGTAGGGCTTGAGGCAGGTCCTTAATCCTAATGAACAAATCCACAAGGGCCGTGACGAGGATTCGAACCTTAATCCTAATGTTCCCCGGAGTACGACCGGGGAATATGTTTAACAACCAGGTACCCAATCACTGCTGGGTGAACAGAGGCTACAGGTGAACAAAGCCACAAGGGGGGAATAGTGTAAACCCCGATTAGGCTTCAGTAGTAGCCTCGGGAGGGCCGTAGCACTCCAGGTTGCAGTTCTTTTGACCATGTGGTGGTACAGTTGACTAGAGCGCGTCTGGGAACCATCAGCACATAGGTTCGAACCCTCATCAAGGCCCATGAGGATTTGAGTACATAGCATTAAATCTTTTTGCCTTGAGGATTTGTTCATGTCATATCCGTATCACGTTATTGTGATTTCTGTGTATTGTATAGAGGCTATAGTTAAGGATTGACACCCAGGATACGAACCCAGGCCAAAGCGAGTGTTTTACCACTGTTCCACGGATACTGCTATTTTTATATTTAAATACTATTTTATAGTACTTTATATAATATAGGAACTATTTTATATACTGATCACCAACACCTTAATCATTAATTATAATTCATAGTGTTGAGCGACAGGCAGCAATATATATTATATATACTTGTTAGGCTTATATTTATTTATATATTAAGGTACAAGAACGTAAGAACTCTTGTGTGTGTGAAAAATAAATAAATAAAATATATATATATATATATATATATATATATATGTCGTACCTAATAGCCAGAACGCACTTCTCAGCCTACTATTCAAGGCCCGATTTGCCTAATAAGCCAAGTTTTCATGAATTAATGTTTTTTCGTCTACCTAACCTACCTAACCTAACCTAACCTAGCTTTTTTGGCTACCTAACCTAACCTTACCTATAAATATAGGTTAGGTTAGGTTAGGTAGGGTTGGTTAGGTTCGGTCATATATCTACGTTAATTTTAACTCCAATAAAAAAAAATTGACCTCATACATAGAGAAAAGGGTTGCTTTATCATTTCAAAAGAAAAAAATTATAGTAAATATATTAATTCAGGAAAACTTGGCTTATTAGGCAAATCGGGCCTTGAATAGTAGGCTGAGAAGTGAGTTCTGGCTACTAGGTACGACATATATATATATATATATATATATATATATATATATATATATATATATATATATATATATATATATATATATATATAATATTGAGGTCTAAAGATATCGAGCATCATGGTCTTCTGGAACACAATCTGACAATCATTTTATATTCAAGGTACAGTACCAATTACTACTACCTGTAGGTATACAAGAATGACCAGAGTGAAGGAATGATGGCCAATTATCCCATTGTGCCCAGGATTTAAATCCAGGACTCTTACTTACAATGTAAGTGTGGTAAATGTTACACTACATGATGCCTTAATTTCTCATATTTAAAACACTTTATTGTGTAAAATTGAGATGCAATAAAACTAAATTTAACCTCCCATTTATAATATGACCATTGCCAGACAAAACAAGCAAGTAATTATCCACAGAAAGCACTAAGCTTAGATGACTATATGTATTATATAGCACTTAAAACCATAATGTTATCAATATTATTTCAATATTCAAGATGTCAACAACCCAAAATAAAACAGTAGGAAGTTAATTTTTTATCAGATGGTAAAAAGCTAGCCTGACTATTTAGCATTATTTAAGTCACAGGTAGAAGCAAGGTAGTTATACAAGTATTGCTCAACATGACTATACAGGAGCACAGAAACAAGTTTTGAAACACTAAGAGATATCCAAGTCATTATGGTATCTAATGACAGTTGATTGAAGGGATTCACTCTGAAAAAAATCAGCGTCCTCTTGAAAATTGTGACATTCTATGATGTGTGTAACAGAGAAACAAGACAATTTGGACATCAAGGACCAGGGTTTTCATTCCATCAACAACCAAAATTCAATCCATTATGACCAATATGCAAGCAAGATAAGGAAATTTATCATTTTCGACTCAAGAGAAAAAGGTGGCCAATGGGAAGCATCATATTTGTGCAGATTTTATTATTGGTTAAAGCTACCCATTTAGATCTCCTGCATTAAAATATGGCTGATTATTGGATTGTAATCCGTTAAAGGAACAGGCTTCAGAAGTAACTTTTTTTTGGCTTATCACCAGTTTATTTGAGGCTATTCTCACATCATTAGGCATGAAGCAAACTCTACATACTGTATTTACTTAAGATACAGCCAAAATATTTCTGTAACAAAAGGATTGAGGGGCAGTCAAGATTCAATAGCCAATAAAGAATATGTATTAACTGTATATACAGCAGTTGGAAGGTTGCAGCCGTTTGTATTACTAGGCTGCCAAATGTCTGTAAATTGTTTCATAATGAGTTGTTTCCATATTTTATACACTAACTAGACACTTTGTATTTTATGGTAAATATTACATTGTCCCTCGTATTCTATTTTCCCTCTTTTACATCTTTGCCCGTGTTTCCGAGCCTTTGGGCTAGTCAGCAGCTCTCTCTCTTATCTGGCCTTCCTCCTCCTCCTCCTCGCTGGTTTACCACATGCTAGTGTGGTAATGTCTTCCAACAATGACCAAAGTGCTTTTACTCCTAATTCCTACCTTCTTTGTTGTGATTTATGCACTTGTGAAGTCATGTAATCTGTAACATCCTGTTTTTATTATATATATATATATATATATATATATATATATATATATATTTATTTTGGTAGCAGTCTTTCCTGTAGACATATATTATTAAATATGACCGAAAAAGTAAGATTAATAATTCTAACACGAATTTTCTCAATATTTCTTATTGTTCTTTTCACTGTTAATGGTAATTGAAAAATCAATTCTCCAAAATTCATTTTTATTTCTAGTCTGACGCGACACTTGAACGCGTTTCGTAATAACTTATTCAAGTGTCGCGTCAGACTAGAAATAAAAATGAATTTTGGAGAATTGATTTTTCAATTACCATCAACAGTGAAAAGAACCATAAGAAATATTGAGAAAATTCGTGTTAGAATTATTAATCTTACTTTTTTGGTCATATTTAATAATTTATATATATATATATATATATATATATATATATATATATATATATATATATATATATATATATATATATATATATATATATATAATAAAACACATAGTATATCAAATATATATATTCCGAGGAAAGGGGACACATGTACATTATGGGTAAGCAGCACACAGTATGGCTCTAATGACTACAGATCCCTTCTTCAGGTATCTGGATCTGGATCAGTAAACTGATATTAAATAATATTACAAATAATGTCTAATGTTGCTCTCTTTACTAACTTGCAGTTTAGCAACATATTTAGTATACATGCACAAGAAAATAATAATATGCAAGTACGTACTGTACTACATTAAATATAAATTAAACATATGCTGTAATAAACACATTCCTTCAGCATGGTAAGTCAGTCTGAATTTATTAAAAATGCATTACTCTATATAAGCACACACAATTCTAGTAGTTGCCAAACTGGAAATCTAAAAATGAATCATGATTCTTTGGAATATATAAACAATTCCTTAACAGTCAAGTAAAAGCAGCCAATAATAGTCAACTTTTAACCACAAGAGATTGTGATCGGTAAAATACAGAAAACATCACCACCACAAGGGCAGGGAGATTGATTGTAAGAAAAAAGAAAAGGATAACCTCAGAGAAGATTCTTACTTCCATTTGAACACACAAAAGTACAGAAGACTATTGTATCCTACTACTTATCTCCTGCCACAGACAAACACAAGCTATTGAAATTTACATAAAGAGTTCATCTCCAAATGCTTAAACAAAATTTCATAATAAATAAAGACTCCTGACCTCATTTGAATATCAGATCTGATTATGGCATAATGAAAGTAACCTCTGATGTGCAAATGCATTACATCATAATGCACTGAAAACTAAACCGTAATTTTAGATGATGGTATTGTGTGTGTGTGCGTGTGTGTCTATATGTCCAAAGTTGGAAGCTGCACATACATGGGCTAGTTTCCCCCAACTTTGCAAGGGGAATGGTCTGGAGTACAGGACGGACATAGGCTGGTCGGGATCGCCACAATTCAAGAAGGAGCAGTGTGTCAGGGTCACATTCTGGCTCTCATTAAAATTTGTGGCACTGTCCCCAAAGCTACACTTTGATCAATATTTTTAAAACAAAAATTAAATAAATAAATATTCTTAATAATAATACACTGTACATGATTATTAACTGATCTTGGGAAAAATTAACATAACTTTTCTGCTGTTCCTGCTTTGGCCATAGTAGCATAAAACAGACAATCCTCCCAAAGCTTCTAAAGCTTTCTCAAAGCCCTGCCTCTTTCTCAAAGCAAATAGGTAACAATTACATATTTGTAATATTTCACACCACTAGGCCACTACTGGTGGACCATATACATGCTAATGGTAGGCTATTATATTATTTGTATAAGAGAGACAAAGACAGAGATATTGAAAAGAGAATAAGAATGAGACAGTAGAAAAAACAAAGACCGAGATAGGCCTGCAGAGAGATCAGGTTAACCAGGGCTAAGAGACCGGAAGACAAATAGAAAAACAGGGGCAGACAACTACACACATATGCAGGCGATGAGTCACAATAACGTGGCTGAAGTATGTTGACCAGACCACACACTAGAAGTTGAAGGGACAACGACGTTTCGGTCCGTCCTGGACCATTCTCAAGTCGATCGACTTGAGAATGGTCCAGGAAGGACCGAAACGTCGTCGTCCCTTCAACTTCTAGTGTGTGGTCTGGTCAACACTACACACATACACAGGCGGACAGAGATAGGGAGAGGAAGGGGGGGGGGGCAGTGCGGCTCACCCATAGGAGCTGATGAGCCGCAGTCCTCTAGACACACTGCCAGGTGCATGACTGCATCAACCTCATACTAGAAGAATAAGCAACTAACAAATGTGTCATAACAAAACATCTTTAAAGTATAATAGAAAAAAAGTCATACAAGAAATTAAGCAAACGGCTACTGTCAAAAATCATATCGAGTGCACACACGTTAAACAAATGATATAACTATGAAAATTTGGTCAGGATTAAGACTAGTAATGATGAACAGCAATGATCAAGAGCAGAAATGGATATGACATAAATATACCAATATACAAAAATGAATCCTTAGGAGCATAGATCTGAGTATTCCAGACATCCTTTACAGTACAACATGTACAATAATTTAAGTTTTATAAACATTTATATAAAATAATTACTAACATTTACATATAACCCTGATGGCAAAGTCTTATGCCTTTACATAGCCTGTAAAGTGTGATGCAGTGGATGATGTATGTGTCACTTAGTAAGTTCCGTTAAGGCCAGCAATGGATGAGTGACCACGTGGATCACCTTGCCCTAAGTTAGGGAGACCTGGATAAGCCTCCAGGCAACCGTCCTACCCCATAACAATGATTATCATGCAGGAGATGAGTCACAATAACGTGGCTGAAGTATGTTGACCAGACCACACACTAGAAGGTGAAGGGACGACGACGTTTCGGTCCGTCCTGGACCATTCACAATCGACTTGAGAATGGTCCAGGACGGACCGAAACGTCGTCGTTCCTTCAACTTCTAGTGTGTGGTCTGGTCAAAATGATTATCATATTCAGTTAACACAAGTTGCAAATAATGACTTATGCTTGAGCAGCCTCAAGTACTGTTTGAATTTATTATTATAAATAACATGAAGTACTGTATACAAAAGACTATAACAAGAGGGATATTAATAATGAGTTAAATATATCAACACAAAAAGAACTAGAAATAATGGATACAAATTGGATACATTTATGTTCAGAAAAGATCTGTTTAAATAATGGCTAGGGAACAGAGTTGTTGATGTCTAAAACAAACTCCCGGATACCATTAATAGACCCAATATTTTAATATTGTTTCAAGAAAAAGTTAGACATACAGTATATATGAATGAGTTTGAGTGGATATAAATAAGAGCAGCCTCACGTGGGTCAATAGGTCTTCTGCAGTTCCCATTATCCTAATGTTCTTATGAGGTCGCTACTTAGGAAAAACCCGATATCCTTATATGCAAACATGTCTAAAAACCTACCAATGAATTCTCTATGGTAATAGATACATGTGAAATATTTACTAAAAAAGTAAGTAAGTAATTATCAAAACAAGGCACCAAGCTGGCAAGATAATGTACGGTGAAGCTCCTATTTATCTCTCGCCCAAACTTATTCATGTCTAATCCAAGCTTAAAATAATTCATTAATCACTCATTTATTATGTTACCAGGTATCTTGTTCCAACTATGAGCACACCTGTTTCCAAACCTGTCTTTACCCTGATATTTCCCAACTTTAAACTAATCCAATTTATATCCATTGCTTTGTATTCTATTTTGTGTTAAGAACTTAATCCTTATTCATATCAGCTTTCTTATACCCTTTCATTTGTATACTTTAATACTGCCACTTCTTACTCCTTGTGCTTCTTGAGAATGTAAATACTGTACAGTAGTTTTTAATCTTTTCAAAGACAAGGTTTCTACTTTCTGATACAATATCATCTTTGTCATCCTTCTCTAAACTGAACTTGTTTTCACTTTAAATATATATTATGAAGGAAAAAGTAAGTAATTATCAAAAGAAGGCACCAAACCGGGAAGGCTATATAGCACCATCAAATGTGCGGAATAATCAGAGGTATGGAGGAAAAAGGTTGCTTTATCAAACAGAAATGAACTAATTACGAAAATTCTCTGAAGAAGAAATACAAAGATCGAAACTGCTAACTAAATAACTCGCCACATCACCAGGAAGAACAGCTTTACTTAACTGACTAAAACTAAACTCCATCAGTGAGGACGCTAAAATTAAAATATATTCCCGTCGCAGTTGAGCAGTCACTGGTAGAGCAGAGGCCCTGTACAGTACTTTTTCCTTCAAAAAATTTGCGTAATCTGATGAATAAATTGATAATCACAACACTTCTACAGTAAACCTGCACATGAAAACACATTCTCGATCACGAAAGTCCTTAGTGTTAAAATAAAAAAAAAAAAAAAAAATACTGTACTGAGAAATCAATGTCTATCATATTGAGGGCATTGGGCTAAACAATATATTTATTCAACAAAATCCATACAAATATGAATAACAAACAATAATGACATTTTGAATATTTATAACAATGACATCATGAAACTAAATTAATTTTGATAATATCTATGTTTTTGCATAACAAGCACTCCTAAAACAAGTAAATGGGAAGAATACAGTACATAGTACTGTACCTGTAATACAGTAACCGTTTAGATGTAAATTTACGTAAACCTCTGAACATCCTAGATGGGTAGAGAGAGTCCAAGCTTGGCAGCTAGGGAAGCATGCTCTGTTTGTATATTGATATTACCATTCTTAGACAAACAAGGCCACAATTCAGCAAGGGCGGCTAAAAGGTTCAGACGTGTCTGTGTCGTAAGCTGACACCGGCACAAAACCTCTGTTACTGTCAGCACTATAGCTAATATCTCGGCTGGTTTGCTCTCGTGAAGAGCACTGCCACTTTGTAACAACTGCAAATGGAAACAAATTAATAATTATCAAATGTTATCATTGTGAATGCTAAATATTGTATTAGTACACAATGAAATCACCATAATATAACATATCTCTGAGAAAATCTCTGGAGAACAATGATGGGACCGAACCAACATCCTGGGTCATCCAATGTGTGTGTCTTGACCAACGTTAACGTGCACATCTGGAGTGACAAGATGCTGGTTCGATCTCACTATCCTGCTCCAAACATTTTCTCACCATAACAGTATCTTAAACATAAGCAAATAATTATGCTGCAATCTCGATTCAACAAACTTTATGGGACCAACCCGGCTTCATTGCATGCAGATTTTTTTTGTCCTACTGAAGAAAAATCTACTTTTATGTTTGTTTCTCCTAATATTTCATTCAGCTATGAATATTTGTATAAATTTTATTAGATCCATATTGAAGACAGTTGCTATTTATACCCTAATTTTTCCTACACTTTATGGGCTTAATCCCAAAGACACATTCATCAATTTTAACATTCTGGTCATTCAAAACAGAACTTTTCTCAAATATAAATTAATATTATTATTATATATTAGCATATTGTGCATATTTAGGCACTGTTAGGTTAGGTTAGGTGTTTAGGTTCTGTTGCCGATTATTTGTAGTACGTGGGTGAAACATTTATAGCATTGTAGTTCGAACAAAAGTCGTCAGCGAAACACTTGTTCCGGAAGTGTTCGGACGTCATCAGTTGTGATTCGTGTGTAAATCGTTTTTCATTCATAAACACCAGAGGGGTTGGCGGGGGCATGGAATGGACTTTTGGTCTTTGTTTAGAGGACGGGCTGCCAAACCTGGGTGAACAAAAACCACACTAATTCAAAATGAAAATGAACCATAGTATTTTGTTGTAAATATGCTCAATGGCTTTACCAAGGTTTCAAGTCTTTCTTGAGTTTTCGAGCCAATTTAGGCAAAATCATTAAAAACGTGATTGGAGCCATATCAAAAAGTTATCAAACACTCCCTAATATTTCCCATACTCTTTGGGAATATTACACTGAGCAAAGTTTTAATTTCAACTGATCATATAATAGACAACAACCAGGAGAACGTGACTGTAAAGAGATACACCCTCATTGCTAGTACTGTATTTCTCATGATCCAGCATCTTAAATAATTTTGTTAAAAGTAGGGGCCATAACCCCAAAATGGTGTAAATTAACCAAGCACATCAACTTTTCCATCTCATCTGAACCTGCTGAACCTTAACAGCAGGTTCAGATGAGATCTCAGAAGCAAGAACAAGGAAATGATTTTGGAGCTGGGGACCAGAAGAAGAGTTGGATAAGGGCTCCTGACAAGTAATAGAAGCATACTTAAACATTAGAGAAGAGACCCTGCCATCATTGTCTTAGACAAGATGTTGCCCATATGCTCGAGTTGGAGAATGAGCTTCACCATTCTATAACGAGCCAAAGACTGCAAATACTCAGGGTGGTTCCCATCACAGTGAATACTGTACTATGAACCAGCATGGTTGCACAAGCAGACTTGACATGTCCAAACTCATCACCAAATAGTCAACAGAGCAACACACTTCAGTAAGTCATCACCAAAGTAAAATTTCCAACAGTTATTATATAAGGGGAGGACATTTAATGCAAGTTACCATTGCAAAATCAGAATACAACACAGGGACTGAAAGGAAATGGAGGTACTGAACCTCGTATTTTAACCTCACCTCCACTAAAGAAGCATGTTGCCCTACATGAGCCATAGCCACTAGGTAGGCTCAACTTGCAAATGAAGGGAAACAGGGAATATATGGGCCTCCGTATATGGCAAAGCCACATTTGGTCTTGCCTCTCCCTCTAGCAGGCACTCAAAGTAACTTGCCAACAGAGCTTGCCAGACTATAACAAAGCAATTGAGCCCCATCACCATGACATGGTAGCTACTTAGAGGATTATGAGAGGGTAATATATAATACACATGGTGTATCATATACACACCTAAATGTAAGTACCCAAGTGTAGTTACAGGATGAGAGCTACGCTTGTGGTGTCCCGTCTTCCCAGTACTCTGTCCTATGAAGCTTTGAAACTACAGTACTGACGATTTTGGCCTCCACCATCAAGTGCTTTTGGTGTAGCACTTGGTATCTGCACACCTTCAAATTTTGTATAATACTGAAGGAAGTATTGCATCTACAGACATGACTGTGGAGTAATTTCATACATGAATATCTCTTGTGATAGATGCCATCTGCATTTCCATGATGGCATTATTTATACAGTACAGTATTTTTAAATACAATTTGAACAATAACATATGTCAAGTGTCTTGATACCAACAATTTGACCCAACTTTCATAGCAACTTCATTTTAACTAGGACTCAAACACAATAATTTGCTCACTTTGGTTCAAAAAGACTGACTACATGTTCCCTAGTTTAGATACCAAATTCTCCAGTATAGGGCAGCAAGAGGTAGAATATATCCTAGCTGGTACCGAGTTAAAAACAGTGTTTGGACAGCCTTTCAGCATGCATAAGTAAACAGTACTGTACATTAATTTAATTTATTTACATCCTGTAATTTGTTGTGAGATTATTCATAATAGCTCTGGTAATACAGTATATGCAAGCATATGGCACAGAAGTGTGACAGAGAAAACGATGTTCTCTGATGTGCCACTCATTCTAAACTATGAATATAAAACAAAGATTAAACGTGGATTAAAAACCAACTCACCAGTTTTGATACGACAATCATGTCGTCATTAACATTTTCATGTGCAGTGTCTGCAAGATGCGGCTCTATAATCATCTCCAGGTAAGTGACAACAGGCACAGCCAAGATCTGTAAAGGTGGCATCACTTCAAACATTGATACACATTGCTCAATGGAATTTACAGTGATTCTCATCATCACAACATTACTATTTATTAATTACTAATGACAAAACAAATAATTTGCACAACATTTTCGAATAGATTTTTATCTAACTTCAATGGCTCATTTCCCATTCTCCTGTATATAAATGGATGCGACAGTCATGTCAGACTCTGTAGTTTAATCCTATTAATGGACTACTGTATGTTACATCATTATCGAGATTTGATGAGAATATAATACAAATCTGATTAAGAGATACACCACCTTTTCCCAATCACAGATGTAAAAAGGTATCAAACAGCAGCATTTTATTATCATATAAATAATACAACTTTCTAAGATAATATACTCACATTATATGTAGTATTCATCTCAGTCTTAACATTATGATAAATTTCCCCAAGAAACAATGCGGATGTTATAAAGCGGTCACGGTCCTCGACAACCAGAGCAAGTCTTTCTGGAAATAACAAGTAAATGTTTAATGCACCTCCAAACATGTATACTGCTATGCACATCCAAACATGTATACTACTATGCACATCCAAACATGTATACTGCTATGCCAAACACCAAACTTTTAATTAGTAAAATATTATACCCAATATATAGTATTGCATTAAAATTTATTAGGCACATTTCTGTAAGCTAAAATTAAGTTTGATAAAAATGCTTCAAGGGGCTTCTCAAAACTGCTTGACAAACATGATGAATTATCTGTAGATAGATTCAACATTATAAATGAAGCCATCCACTAAAGGAAAACCAGTTTCCTGGGGCAACAATGAACTGAAGATAATTAAATGGATGATGATATGACTATATGTCACACTTACTATTATATTCCTCCTGTACCTTTCTCATCAGCAAACTACGTATTTTACAATCACCAGCTTGATGATGAGCAATTAAACCAAACAGTTTAGTAACAACAGAAGTAAGTGTACGGTCTGTGTACCCATAGCTGCACAGCTTGTCTACAAACCACCTGAAAAAAATGTATATTGCAAATACCAATGTAAAAGTAGTACAGTAATTATTATTATTATAATATGTTTTGACAGGTGGGTACAAGGGCAGATGACTTGTGTGTCTTGTTAGCAAGCTTAGAGCTTTCTTTTCCCATAGTTCATTAATTCTTACCTTACTAAATTTTCCTGGACCATACATACAGTATGTAATAATGTAGGTGTTAGTACAGTGGAACTCTGCCTCAACACACTCCCATTTATTGATCTTCAGCTGGACCAAAAAGGATCTGAACTGGTCAAGAACAAGGTCTAGTCGGATAAAACTAACAAGGTATGGCTGAGCAAGATATGATACTTTACTGATACCTCAGCTTCATCCCATTAAAATGCAATGCCGAAACTTGCAATAATTAAGGAAACACATAACTATTACAAAACATTCTAGGTTACTGTTTATTTGTTCGTGAAAATTTTGTTCTAGGTCCAGGAGGCCTGGCCGACGACCGGGCCGCGGGGACGCTAAGCCCCGGAAGCACCTCAAGGTAACCTCAAGGCAGGTCTTTCCCCCAAGCAATATTAAAATACTGTAGTTTTAAAATCTGCCACCAGGAGACTTAAATTATGTTATGACCCCATAAGAGTGGTCTTTCTTGCTCCAGCATACTGGACACAAATCTTGAATGCTTCAATCTGATATGTAGAGGCATTTTCCCAGTTATTGCAGAAAGCTTCAAATAAAATAAAAATTATATAAAAATCATAAAGTATCCCTACCATCCCTACAGGAAAACCTAATAATTATACCAGTTACTGACTACATCAATCACTCCATACGTCTCATCCTTTTAAACTGACATAATCTAATGACAATCTCACAATCAACTTGAGAATGGTCCAGGAGGGACCAAAACGTCATCGTCCCTTCACTTTCTAGTCTGTGGTTTGGTCAAGCTGACATAATTAACAAATTGTTTTAAATGTCTATAAATAACATTTGCTGTATAGAGTAATTACCTTAAATCTACTTCCTTATTAACTTCAGTTTTGACTGTTGAGGCTACTTCTTGAACTTGTAAGTCATCTGGATATTTGATGTCTATGATACGATCCACTAGAAGTGCCACTCCGGTCGTTGCCTTTTCTTTGTTTTCATCTGTAAAAAAAGCAAGATAAAGAATTACTTTCACTGAAAAACAATGCACAGTACTTAAAATTGATATCATAACTAACAAGAGTAATTGTGATTAAGTAAACTCTCAAGAAGCTTTATGGGACAATACAAATCAACAGCCAAGACACAGCTATATAACAATAATGACACTCGAGAGAGGTGTTGAAGTCTGGTGGAGCAAAATGGAAGAGTAGAAGAGGACATTTACCCAACATACACTAACATAAAATACCTGAACATGGCAGAGTAAGGGCAAATGGCTTTGTGAACAAGATTTTGATAAATCTTGGTGAAAAATACATTGAAAGATTAGATTGTGAGGAGAGTGAGATGGTGCAGAGTTAAATTATATGCCAGCTGGAGAGTTAAGTGTGTGGAAGACGACATTCCAAGTTAACATAATCCAGACAAAAGAAAACCATTATTTACTTCCAAAATATAAATAACAAAAAATCAAACATTTAATGAAATGAAATGCTCTTTTCTGGTAGGCCTCTCATTAGCTTTTTGAGCATCAGTGCTGGAATTGACAAGCCTTGGGACATCCCACCGGGATTCTAAGATCCCTCCTGACCTACTGGAAACCAAGACCAGAATCTGGATCTACCTTGAGGTTACCTTGAGGTGCTTCCGGGGCTTAGTGTCCCCGCAGCCCGGTCATCGACCAGGCCTCCTGGTCTATCTACAAGATGAGGGAAGCATAAGAATCAGAGATCTACCAGAAACAAAAAAAAAAAAGACAATGAGTAAGTGCTCACAAAAAAAAAAAAAACCAGCGTTGAATATAATGAAGCGCCAATTTCTTGGTGAGTCACGGTGGCTCCCAGAAGCTACAATGCTGATAGTGCCAAGCTACTACTACACGAGCCCCAGGAGGTGAACGTTCGAGCCCTGCACCTACGGGTTCCAGACAGAGATTATCACAGCCCTCTTTCAGCTGAGGCCAGCTTCCTTCATTACCCAGCAGAAGGAAGAGTAATAATAGTTACCAGTCTCCGTGGTGCAGTGGTAAGACACTTGCCTGGCGTTCCGCGAGCGCTTTGTCATGGGTTCGTATCCTGGCTGGGGAGGATTTACTGGGCGCAATTCCTTAACTGTAGCCTCTGTTTAACTCAACAGTAAAATGTGTACTTGGTTGTAAAAACGATTCTTTGCGGCGGGGATCGTATTCCAGGGACCTGCCCGAAACGCTACGCGTACTAGTGGCTCTACAAGAATGTAACAACTCTTGTATATATCTAAAAAAAAAAAATCATTAATTACAACAATTATTATTATAGTTAATATTATAATATAATTTATTAATTATAATAATAACTATAATAATAATTGTTGTACAGTAATTAATAATTATTACTCTTCCTTCTGCTGGGTCATGAAGGAAGCCGGCATCGGGTGAAAGGGGGCTGTGATGAGCTTGAGTCTTGAGTAGATGTGACTTAATAACTCAACTTCAACAACTAGGAGAGTTATGCACCAGAAAAGGGAACCCAGGATATGGGTGACAAAATACATGGGTATTTGTAAACCTATATATCTGAACATTTTCTTTACACACTAAATAATAATCCCATAAATGTGTTTTTAGATACCGGCGAGAACGCATATTGATTGGGTTCTTTCCATTGTCGTAACTTACTGCATGCGCCTGGTTGGCGAAGAATATCCCCATCCTTCTTAATACATCCTCTTCCTCTTCCTCGTCCTATAGTCGTCATATTATCTAGAGTGCCTAGAAAATAAGGTTCAGATTATTTACAATAAGGAATGATGACTTCGACAGCAAAGAAATATAACTTTGCTCACAATGAAGAAAGATGCCCTTTTACAATTTGGAAAAAAAAAAAATTTCATATTCCTGGTCATTCATTTCCTATTCCTTACATGTACTTCCTTACACTGTACTAATATTTTTTGTGTAATGTCTCATTTAAATATTTCTACAGTACAGTATTTGGTCTGTCACCCCAGTGAATTTACTATTACATGATATAATTGCCATGTTTGGCTTAACAAGTTGCCCTAACCAAGGAAAAGGCTATCCATGCAGTCACCCATCAGTTACTGGCCAGACCCAATTGTGCTCAACATGATTAACAGTGTGCTACACTACTGACTACTGTATACTGTATAAATAAAACAACTCATCATTTCAAGTAAATGTTAGTAAAAAATTATACATTTAACTAATTCATTTAACTTTGCATTTTTCTTATCTTAAAGATGTAATGATTATAAACAAGATTTTTGAGTCGCTGCTAAAGCAAGGAAAAATTAAAAGTTCAGCACGAGCTCAGGCAGGATGAGAAAATATGGACATAAAAGTTTTATTTGCAAAATTTAAATATTTACAAGAAACAATTCTGGTGTAAAAATAGTACATTTCACAAAGTCATTAACATACAGCATCAGGCGTCTTAAAGGTACCCAAGTACAAAGGTTGAGGTCTATACAGTATTGAGATTCTGCAGTGATTGTTGTTAATACAAATAGTGAATTTTAAAGGAAGTTATTTAAACAACTGAACATATTAAATTGCAGCTATTATGAAGGCAGGAACTTATCCATTAATACTAGGCAAAGACTGGTCACAAGGTGAAATGATATTGATGGTCTGACATAAGTGGTACATTATACAGGGTCCTGAACGATTCCTTACACAAGTTTCTACAAGCAGTTCTTTGTCGGCCAATTTAGCATATGCCACTGACGATATCCTTTTGATGTGGGCCTCTGGGGACAGGTTCGGTGTGATATCAACCCCCAGATCTTTCTCTCTATTTGACTCTTACAGGATTTCACCTCCTAGATGGTACCTTGTGTTCAGCCTTCTCCTCCCTTCACCTAATTTCATTACATTACACTTTCCTGAGTTGAACTTCAGTAGCCATTTTCTAGACCTAGACATTTTCTCCAGTTTGCCCAGGTTGTCCTGTAGTCTCTGTCGATCTATATCCGTTTTTTATTCTTCTCATAATTTTTGCATTGTCACGGTAATCTCTCGGTATTCTCTCTACTCCATTATCACCTAGATTCGGCCTCTACCATTATCACCTGCATTCTCATACCAATCAAGTCTACCTATTCAAGACCTGCAGCCCCAAGAACAACAACAACTATTGTATTCACAAACGTTTAGACAGTGGACTACCTACCCCCTACACCACGGCCTGTCACCCCACCTCACCTGGTCGATGGGAGCTCATGCCACCGGCTGAAACAAGCAGTTAACGAGCCAGCTCATAGTTATAGACGATACCAACGCCACCTGGACGGCCGTCATTCTATATATATAGGACTACCTAGCCCACCACGATTCAGATTATTCCTGAGTGCTCTACTGAGTAGACTTGTTGACATATCTCGGTGTGGTAACAGGTTTATGCAGTCTAGCTCATAGTATTCTAGCACCATATTTTTTAATTACACATTAATTTAATGTAAATTTAATTGTTTATCTGTTTTGTTTGTTTTGCACTCTTTGTATCAAGCCAAGCTTGGATATAATTTTTTTGTTTTGTAATTTGTTTAAAGTCATTATTATTAAGTATTTTTAAATGTTTTTTCCTCTTTTGTGCTTTATCCTACAGTTGTCACACCGTGAAGTTAAACAGCAGTCTAATTTTTTTTATTTTTTTTTTTGTTTATATGATTGGCATTCCATCTGCTTTAGAGAGACCGCACGAACATCAATTTTTCTCATCATATAAATTGGGGGCCTGTCTGGGAGAATGATATCGTTGTTTAGGGCTGGTCAAGTTAATGAGTGGTGTTGCTACTGCTCTAGAGACTGCATGAACATAAATTTTTCTCGTCATAGCATCATCAGCAAACATTGAAAGGAATGAGTCTATACCCTCTGGAAGACTGTTTACATATATCCACTGGAGCCGCTTACCTTTTACTCCTGCCTGTTGCTCCAACTTTTGTAACGTCCTTATATGGGGTACTGTGGCAAAGACTTTCTGACAGTCCAAGAAAATGCAGTCTGCTCACTCAGTGAGGGAAGCAAATTTCAATTGGATGTGGCGTAGGAATGTGTGTACGTGTGTTCTTTATTTATTTATATATATACAAGAAGGTACATTGGGATTGTGAGGATACATAATATAGTAATTACAATCTTGTAAAGCCACTAGTACGCGCAGCGTTTCGGGCTTCTTAACGTGTTGAAGTCCCGGTGCCATACATTATAGGAACCAGAAAGCATTAAGATCTGAATTTTATGCCATGCATGGCATTTCTTTCTGTCTGGTTTAATTTTCAGGTGATTTGGAGAGTTAATTTTCATGTCCCGAGACTGAAATATGCCATTACCAGTGCCTGTCCCCAGACACATCAAATAAGACCTTGTATTTAATTACTGTACTCTTCCTCTGTGTCTAACAATCTATCAATCTGCCTGAAAAAGTTCAAATTATATTCATCATTGTGATCAAAATATTATTTTCCCTATGAGTCTCATAAGACACATCCACTTGAATGTCTAATATTTTCCCAAATGTTTGTTTGTAGGTATTTATCATAATATTATATGAACATGTGGAATATATGCAGATACTATAATGAGTTTTGTCTTGTTTTAAGGAACAATGTAGAAAATAGAGGTTTTTAGAACTGCAAATTTTCAAACACCCTTAACATTGTCATAAACATGAACCTCCATATACTCTATGTATAAAGTCCAACAGGAAGCTAGCCAACATCCCAGTGGTTGAGGCCACCATCTGATGGTGAAAGGGGTTTGGCGGCGAGTCATTTACTCAATACATAGTATTATGTGCTAGTTTGAGGATCTCAAAACAATTCCTGGAAAGAGGTCAAGTGCTTTGTAACTTCCTTTAATTTTTATGGTGGCTCATCTTTGTAGTAAGCTGACCATTGATTCCCACATACTCACTACCACAAAGAGATAAATCAATGTGAAGTGGTGTTTAGGTGGGAAAAAGGATAGTCATTGGAGCATGATACATTGACAAGAGTCCTGCAGTGTGTTGACAACAGTTTCCCTCACCATAGGCTGAGGGGAACTACTATGGGGAACAAATCCAGAAAAATCATTTCAAACATCATAAGCTAGTAATATTAAAAGAATGACAGTAAGATGAGATGGTTATTTACTCAAGCTTATAATAAGTGCATGAACCATGACTGGGAAGTTATTTGGAGTTTTGGAGATACATTGGTGACTCAAGACAAGGCATAAAGAGGCACATCATGGTTACTTAAACATATATTTTAGGCAGAATCAGAAAGGCTTTGGAGGTTATCAGTGATGCCAGTCAAAATGAATTGTTGGTCACTTGTAATTTCATACCTACTGCCTCTACAGTACTGTACTGGATTCCTTAGCAATGATTCTTCCACCCCTGGTGTTGCACTTATTAATAAGGTCTGCAGTTTGTTTGCAAATCTGTCGCTGTTTGAATAGGATGGACTGTCGCAGCTTAAACACACTTTAACGTGGATGATAGCATTTTGATTAGCAACAGTTCTAATATTCTAAGGTCATATTTTACAATGCATTTGCCTAGTTTGATGATAATTCCTCTGCTGTGTGAGAGTTTTCCCAACCTATACTGACTGCAAACATCAGTGTTAATTTTGAACTTCAACTTAACTAGACCAAGGGCAATATTAGGGCAGTCCTCACCTGTGTGTTCTTCAGATAGTTTTGGTGAGCTAACGATGACAGAATCCAAGAGTTTCAGTTGCTCACTCTCATCTTGGGATGCTGTTTGGTGGACTTGAAGTGCATTTATTTGATTTTCTAGCCTGTTAAGAATTCCATTTTGTATGCTTAGGGTGTCTTCAACAGCAAGTTTACTCAGTTTTTCTTTGAGATCCCTTGCTTCAAGTTGAAGATAATCAATTTCTTCTTGTTTTTTGCTCATGGATTCACACAGGTGCTCAATCGTTTGTTGCTGTTGAGTGGTAGTGTCTTGGAGTCCTTCAATTGCTTGCGATTGTTGATTAATTATGTTGTACAGTTTCTGTAGCCAGCCTTCCTCCTCTGTTTCTTTGAATTCATGACAGGGGAGGCCAGACTGCATCAACTCCTTGGCCAAAGTTGTTAGTTGTTGTAGGGGCGGGGATTGGGACGCAACAGAAACCCCATTTTTTTCCACGGGTGATAAGTCTGGCGTCAACACTGTCTCTTCAGAATTTATAGATGGCCCTCTTGCACTGGTTGGAGACTCGTGGATGGAACTCCTTTCATTCTTATCATCAGCATTGGACATGGTTTCAGCTGTGTAAGTTGTGAGCATGTGGAATGAGCTAGAATGGAAGGTGGATGAAGCTAATGCCATTCACAGATTTGAGTACAGTGGATATTATAAAAAGCAGGAGGATCAAGAGCCATTGAAAAGGGTGAATGGCAGTATGAAAGGAGAGGACCAAGAGCTGATGCTTGCCATGCAAGCACATATAGGCGAGTGGTGCAAAAAAAGCTCACAGTAAAGTTTTAGATAAACTCCAAAAACCATAATGACAAATTTATAATACAGTACAGTATCTAAATAACGGCATTTGCTCTGGATAAGTACAGTAGAGTACTGTACTGCAAAGAAATATGAAACTATTAAACAAAACATTGTACAGTATTAAGAAAGTTTTATCATTAAAATGTAAATAATGATCACGATGTAAAATGAACAAAATTGAAGAAACATTTAAAAAATTAAATCCACTAGATATATTGTACAGCACATCATTAAAACTAATATTATAGTATCACAGTATCACAAGAAAACATTTGCAGACAAAGTTGGGATATCTGGGTTAAGTTCCAAGTAAAACATAACATATTTAACTTCATAATTAAGCTACAGTATAACCACAACCAGCCAAATTTGAAATACAGTAATTGCCTAATCCAATACATAAAAAAAATGCACTGGTAATACAGTACCTAAATTCATTAATATGTTTAAATCCCAAAGGATTCTAATGAGCTCCATACACCATACTCCCCCACCAGGGCTCTTCTGCTAATCTCTCTTATTTTATCTTTTTATTTATTTATTTATTTATGCATATACAAGAAGGTACATTGGGAATGTTGGGATACATAATATGGCAATTACAGTCTTGTAAAGCCACTAGTACGCGCAGCGTTTCGGGCATATTCAGACAGCATATCTGTCTGAATATGATTCAGACTGTGCTTGAAAGATAGTATAACAAGTAGTTTAATTAGCATTATGAAATGCTGTAGCTGGTACAAGAAGGAAGGACACAGCAACTGGGGGATAGTTAAAGTATAGTAGTTAAGACTGAGGGCAAGAGTGCTTCCAGATGGCCTCTGTGCTCACTTGAGAGACCCTGGTGGGGAAGTTCTCCATCTCTAACAAGCATACCGTACATGATTATACTGTTATGTAATACTTTAATACACTACACATCTCTTCTGCACCAACCATCTTCATGACTTGACACTGATGGCGAAGAAGAAATTGTTGAACACATTGGACCAACCTGAAACCGATATGCGAGTCAAACACTCATCCATTGCTTAAGTAATACTGAAATGATAACAAAACCACGCACCAGAAAATCCGGAAACGACAACATTGGTCCGTCTCGGACCATTATCAAGTCGTGAGATGGTCCAGGATGTGTAATGGTCAAATTACGGTTACACCATTTGATAATGGTTCAGGATGGACCGAAACCGTGCCATTTCTCCATTTTCTGACGTGTGGTTTGGTCATCATATCTTCAGCTATGTTAGTGTGACTAATCGTCAAATAATAAAATGAGTAACAAGTACTGTAATACAGTAATGAAATGACCAGCCAGAGGCCTTGGACCCATGCAGAAATATCTCAGTAAAAAACAAAAACAGGCCTTCCATACATAGCAAGCCATAACACTACTAACTACTAGGTACAGGTATCTAACTACTGCTAAACACCCAACCCACACATCTAAATACAGAGTAAAGGGGCCGATAACTCTGCCGGCCATCCTGCACCTTTACCAGGGTAAACAGAGACTTTAGGTGTAAAGAAACCCACCATTAAGAGGGTTTAAGAACGGTTAATAGCTATGCTAAGGTGCATCGTTGCTAGTCTTTAAACAAACCTAAGGTACCAAAAATATAAATCTGCTTTATAGATAGCGAGAGAGAACTACGAGACATCAAATATTGAAGTTTTGGGCAGCCTCTGCCAACATTTTGCCGTGCTTGGGAGTCAAACCCGGGTCCAGCCAGTAGTGAACTAATACACTAACCACTCCACTACTTTGTGCCAATTTCCTTAACATTTTTGGCGGCTTTCTTTAATACGTAATCATGTATTCCTTTTTTTTAAGTCAGGTTTTGTTGGTAAAGATACTTGAATTTTCAGAAAACTTTCCAATGCAAGTGTTCCTTTCTGGCATACCTGGCCATCATTACAAAATTATATTTAGAATGGTCACGAGGGACGGAATATCACATTAGAGGCTTTATATAGTAGTTACGCGCCAGTGAATTATTCTTTGGGTAAAATTATGGGCGTTGTCATCACAGTCCCATATGCTGACACCTGACACCTCTAGTTAATAATAAATAATAATAATAATAAATGTTGACCAGACCACACACTATCGACTTGAGAATAGTCCAGGACGGACCGAAAAGTCGTCGTCCCTTCAACTTCTAGTGTGTGGTCTGGTCAACATACTTCAACCACGTCATTGTGACTCATCGCCTGCAATAATAAATGTTTATTTAGGTAAGGTACATACATACAAGAGATTTTACAAAGATTGATGGAATTATAGATAGAGGTAGTACATACAATGCCTAAAGCCACTATTATACAAAGCGTTTTGGGCATTCTCGGGCAGGTATCCATCACTACCGCATAGGGTAAGACAGGAGTCATGTGTTACGGCAGGTACACGTGTCAGTACAGGTGTATGGACTCAATATGTATCAGGTGAGAGTGGTGACCTTCCCTGGGAGTGGTGACTGGTCCCCGTCTCTGCTCTCTTACCATCACTTCCTGAACCTTTTACTCACATATACAAGCAAATTGCTCATAACAAATAACTATTGGTGCTAAATATTTCATTCTACATTGAATAGTAAATAAGATATAACTTCATTTAGGCTTGAAGCTTACGTATATAAGGCAACTTAGCGAGAGGAGCCGAGGTGAGCAGCCGCACCAGTGGCCACGTACAGGTCACTCCGTACACAACACACACACTATTCAGTGGGGGTCATTTCGTACCGAAGACGATTCGACAGCTCTGTGGTGTTGAGTGCTAGAAGTACTCACCTATTTGTGCTTGCGGGGGTTGAGCTCTGGCTCTTTGCTCCCGCCTCTCAACTATCAGTGAACTGGTGTACAGGTTCCTGAGCCTATTGGGCTCTGTCATATCTACATTTGAGACTGTGTATGGAGTCAGCCTCCACCACATCACTGCCTAATGCATTCCATTTGTTAACTACTCTGACACTGAAAAAATTCTTTTTAACGTCTCTGTGGCTCATTTGGGTACTCAGTTTCCACCTGTGTCCCCTTGTTTGTGTTCCACCCGTGCTAAAGAGTTTGTCTTTGTCCACCCTGTCAAATTTTTGTCAAATAACCACCCAATTTTTTAGGTGGTTATCATGTCTCCCCTTACTCTTCTGTTTTCCAGGGATGTGAGGTTCAGCTCCCTTAGCCTTTCTTCGTTGCTCATACCTCTCAGTTCCGGGACGAGTCTGGTGGCATACCGCTGAATCTTCTTTAACTTTGTCTTGTGTTTAACTGGGTATGGACTCTAAACTAGAGCTACATACTCCAGGATTGGTCTGACATAGGTGGTATACAGGGTCCTGAACGATTCCTTAGACAAGTTTCTAAAGGCGGTTCTTATGTTGGCCAGTCTAGCATATGCCGCTGATGATATTCTTTTGATATGGGCCTCTGGGGACAGGTTCGGTGTGATATCGACCCCCAGATCTTTCTCTCTCTATTTGACTCTTGTAGGATTTCACCTCCCAGATGGTACCTTGTGTTCAGCCTTCCCCTCCCTTCCCATAATTTCTTTACTTTACACTTTCCTGAGTTGAATTTTAGAAGCCATTTTCTAGACTATTCCTCCAGTTTGTCCAGGTCGTCCTGTAGTTTCTGTCTATCTTCATCAGTCGTGATTCTTCTCATAAATCTTCATCATGGTACATATTAGACTAGTGTTTTTTAGTGGAAAATGAAAGAAAAGGCCGCAACAGTCTAAATAACCCAATACTGACAACATTATGACTTCGAATCTGTTTCGAAATGATTTAGATGGTAACGAATACCATATTCACCTACCTAACCGGTAATTATATGGTTCATTTTATAACTTGTTGAGTGAAGAACGATGTATTATAAGCAGTTAACATGAATAATGTTGGAATAAGTTCAAGTTCAAGTACGTTTATTGAGATAAGCAAGAAATACATCTCAAAGGGATAGAGTAGCTTAGGCTATTTCTACCCCCCCACATGTTGGAATAAGCAGGTCAGAGTTACCGTGACAGAAAGCTGGGACTTGGAGCCTTAAACATGGCGTGTCAGTAGTGGAGGCCACTCTGGCCATACATTACACCCATGGCTGCACGCCTGCTATTCCCTCATGCAAAACTTTTTTTTTTATCTTCTATGGAGTCAATTGCCATATTCTTGTCGAAGGTTCTTTAGAAATATGCAACAAAGCTGCATTAAAAAATATGGCTTGGAATATGTCACATATGTACTTATTTATAAGCGAAATAGTGACTATAAGCAATAAGTCATATATGTGCTGTCTTGTGTGAGAGCAGGTTGTGAATTTTATATATATATATATATATATATATATATATATATATATATATATATATATATATATATATATATATATATATATATATATATATATATATATATATATGCACACACAAAAGTAAAATCACTCTGCCTCTTAGGCAAATAGGGTTATGGCTCGTCCTAATGTTCCCAACGTCAAGAAACTTTAAAAATTATCGTACTAAAGTGTCCTTATCCTAACCTGCCAGAGGACCCAAAACAGAAAACGGGACAGTATATATAATTTTCGCGAGCCGCTACCATTTTCTAGTACGACAATGTTTGGTCTTAGGTAGAGTATTCGTCAAAATGCGACACTGTATTAGGAGGACCGATTAATTATCACCTAAAAAAAAAATACCTCAACTATAGGCCCATAAACCAACATAGACTCAAATTATGTATTCAATCGGAAACAAAAAATATTACAATTGCACGTTACAATAAATTCCGCGCCATGACTCATAGGTTATTATATCATTTTTGGACAATATGAGTTTGGCTATAGGTAGGAGGCGGTGAATATAGCCACCATTGGTTGTGATTATATAATCGTCCGTCTGGCCGGGGAGCACAACACTGCCGGAAGTGTTGTACTGGTCCACCTCGCACCAGTTTTCTTATTGATTCGAATCTTTTCTCCTTGGTTACAGCTAACGTCTATATAATATAAAGATTGTCTTTAAGAGCTACTTATCTCATTATGTGTGTACGTAGTATATTTAAAACGGGAAAAGTAATGTAAAAATTGTAAACATTCAGGTATTTTGTGGCTTTACACATCAATTATTTCTTATATCACAGTATGTCATTCCACTCCCACAGACGCGCCATACAGTCTACCTTGCCGAAGACGTATTATACATTTATTTTTAGATTATACAAGTATAAAAGCGACTACGGTTGTTTATATTAACCAGAAGCATTGTTATTATGATGATAACATACGCAGGACATTATATATATCGCATGTGTATAAGTTGAGGGTACGTCTGGCAGCGACGAGCTCCCCTCCTTGGTTCGTTCGCCGGTGTTAACATATAGTGCACATCACTCTCCCTTTATCTTGTATCTCAAGTATTCATCTCTATTAAGGTTGTTTTGTATCTCGCGTACGCTGATAAGGATGTCTTGAAGCACATCACTTCCCGGAGAATGATCGGTGGACGGTGATAGAAAGACAATAGAGAAAAAGGTTATGAGAAGGGTGGCAACGGGGAGGCTGGTGGGGCTGGCTGGCGTATACACCTGAGACACACGCAAGGTGTTTCTCACAACACAAATGTTGCTAATATCACCACCACCTACACAACTCCCCCTGGAAAGGAAGCATATAATGTGAAGTAGTTCGTCTCGAGCTGGCGGACAACATCATTCAAGATTACTCAACATATTTCTTCACATGACAAACGTCCTCGGTGATTTGTCTTGAATATCTTATCAAGAAGAGCATCTGTTGACAAGAGGGACTCGTCGATAATCAGCAGCTTATCAAGAGATGAGAATGTTTGGGTGGGAGTCGTGGAGAGGATCATTCCAGGGGCACAGTTCTGGTAGTGACCCAGACGCCGCCCTTCCTCCTCCTGCTCCTGACGACGACCACGACGACACCATGGCCCTCACGCCTGAGAGGGAACACCGCCTCGCCCAGGTCAGTTTGATTGATTTTATTTATATATATATACAAGAAGGTACATTGGGATTGTGAGGATACGTAATATAGCAATTACAATCTTATAAAGTCACTAGTACGCGCAGCGTTTCGGGCAGAAGGTCAGTCGCCTCTCATCACTTGTTTATACCATTAAAACCTCGGTCTTTTGGTTAAGATCATGATGTAAAGTGTAGTTACGAGTTGGTTAATATCAACACAAAGTTGGAGAGGATGTTTATGACGCATATAACACTCCTCCCTCCCCCCATATACCCCTCTCCACCAACCCGTCTCATTACAGTCACTGGGTTAGATTTTTAATTCCTACACAAATATTTCGAGTGATTAATGTGCGGGAACGCCAGTGATCACTTTGGGTTGGCATGTTTACCAGTCCTCCATAAAGCGGAATAGCATGTTTAGTGCATTTGACATACCAGTACCAGGAGCAAATATTGTAATATTTGTCAACGTATTCAAGATCAAGTGGTTTAGCTATCATTTGATGACAGGACAGCTCTGTATCAAGGACAGTCTTCGTGATTACCGGAAGCTGTATCGACGTTGGAGGAGGCACGCATATGCTGCCATGACATCTGGAAGCATGTGAATAATTACCACCATGCATAATACAGCTCATAATAATTACTCTCAAAGCTCCATCTGAGCAGGAAATGCATTAAATAAGTGTCTCACAAAAGCGTGGTATTACTAGCACCGAGAGTAAATATGGTGGTGGAATAGAGTTGCACTTTCGAGTTTCCATAATTCCTATATTCACTAACTGACCAAGTTATCACATGGTTACCTCAAGATTCTCAACCGCTTTAATTGACGGTTAATCAACAGTTAAGACACATTAACAAAATAATACACAACCCAGACAGGGCGAAATTCGCGTTGACTGTTGTATTGATCGGCCAGAGTTGCAGGCACATATTTGATTTGACATTTTACTACTACCAATCAATTTCCATGGCCTTTTTTTTCTCTGTGATACCAGATAAGAACTGATTTACACACAGAAGCTTGCGGTAAATATAAACGAGTTCACTGGGTAATTTATTCAGCTAAAAGAAACAATTAGGATGAGGAGGCAGGAGCGCACACGCCGTGTACGCAGCTACCAGCAGCCTAGACCACTGGATGCCTCAGGGCGTAGTAGCCATAGGCTATGAGGCTTTAGGCATGGGAGTAATAGCTGGCAAAGGGAAAAATTGTAGCTATGGCTTGTAACAATAATACACTTCCGTTTTGTACTTTGAGTTTCTTTCCTTAAGAAATGATGAGAAGAATAACTTTGCGCTGCTGGTGTTAGGCAGTTCTTAGTAGTGATTTGAATAATGATTTTAATGTGTTGTAATGGAATAGTTTTCATTATCATTTTATTTTTAAATGAAGAGGGATATTCCAGGTTCTCATTAAAAAATTATAGACAAGAATGGATAATTGCCTGCAATAATGAACCTCGCACTGAGATGATTGATTAAGACTAGGTTGAGTAAACATTGTTATGTCTAGTCATTATAACTGCAGCAATCATTGACAAATCGCCTCATCAATTCACTTCGCTCTTCCTTATATAGCATGATCATATTAAAAATAACGTTATTTTTATTTTGCCTATTAAATGAGGCGTGATTGACCATGTGCAAATTCGCCATCGGCTGACTTTGCAGGTTTACTTCAGTCTTCAGATTCTAGATTCTGTTTTGGATCAGTGACGTCAGTCCTTGTAAACAAAGACCACGTGCGTTTGTTTAGTGATGCTAAGTTTAGCAGAACGCTTCAGGCTGGATGATCAGGCTGTTTAGTGATGCTAAGTTTAGCAGAACGCTTCAGGCTGGATGGTAGAGTAATACTGTTTTGCGCAATGGACGTATACATCCATTAGTCATCAGTAAACGAGTCATCAACATTATTATTCAGAGACAACACTCGTTACCAGTGCAAAAATGTTAGCAAGTTGTAAATTTTGTTAATCTATAAATATTTAAAAAATAACGAATAAAAATAGGAATTCCGTTACCATGCTCCCCTTTTTATTTTCAAAATAAAACGGGACATTATAGAGTTACATAAGTATTAAACACAACCTTTAAACTGTGAAGGTGAGCAGCGTGAATACCACTCATAACCTCGTAGTGAGGACATCTGGTATTTGTACATTATTATTTTGCCCAATACGATCCTACACGTGTTAATTTTTCTGTAACACTATTCACCTTATAACTTTAATTTTTCTTCAAATTCTTTGTTAGCTTCATGACTTGGCTAAAAAAAAAATGCTTGGATTGCACTCTCTGGTAAGTAGAAGAGTTGGGGGTGACATAATAGAGGCAAAGAAGATATTAATACGGTACAACCTGTCTTTTACCCTGTCGTAGCTCAGTCGATTAAGGCAGTGTCTGGGATGTTCCCGGACGCAGGTTCGAATCCTCGTCACGGCCCTTGTGGATTTGTTCATATTAAGGTGTTGGGGGGGGGGGGGGATCAACACAAGAGGGAACACGAAACAGTGGGTGTAGGTTGGGTAAGTTTGGATTTGGGAGAGACCTGGGTGGGTACTGGTTCTGTGGCTGGGTTGTTGATTTGTGGAGCCGGTTGTGGCTTAGCACGGTGGAGGTCGGATCCCGTGATTGTTTCAAGTGTGGGTTGGACATATGTGTGAATGGGTGGTAAAAAATAGGAGCTGCCTCGTATGGGCCAATGCGGTTCTGCAGTTACCTTCATTCTTATGTTCTTTGCCAGAATGTACTATTCACCAACACATGTAATAACATAACCCATTGTATCTGCTTATATTATGTATTCCTGTATGTATGTTATGGAGCATGAGAAAAATTAAACAACTTAACCTATCCTAGGCCTAATTAACGGAATTCTAGATCTATTAAACGTAATCATAACTATTTAAGATCTCACGAGCACTGTGTCTAAGACACAGTGTAGACAATCTTCTACTGGACGGACTACAGCAGCATGTAGGCTTTATAGAAATAATATTTACACACTATCAGTGTTAGGTTAAACAACGGGCTGACTTCCACACAAACAATTAACGGCACTACAACTAGTTATCAGAACATTAAAAAAAACATAGGAGGAATAATATTTTGTGATTTAAACTTTGCTCTTCAAGTAATCTAAAACTTCTCCTGGAAGATCGACAGCAAGAATCTCATACTAGCAATTATAAATGACCTAATTGCTGCACAGAGTAAAGGATTTCGAATCTCCTTTGTATGGATACCATCACACATAAATATAACCCATCATAGTGACACAGACATTGCAGCCAAATTAGCGTGTAACAAGGATGAAGTTGAGTTAGACCTAGGTATCCCCATCTCTGTTGTCAAAACTTTATTTTTCCAAACACTCAGGTCTGATAGGAGAGAAATTACTGACTCTCAACGACCTGAAAACACCAGTATAAAAAGCTATGATTTGTTCAAATCTGAAACCTATGTTTATGATCAGCACAAAACGTCCACCAGACTGTGCGACACAGCGGTTGCCAGGATCAGGTTGGGTTACCGTTACCTGTGGCAGGTGGCTACAGGTGACGGGTCTCCCAAACCTGAGCACTCCAGGTGCAAACTCTGTGAGCAGGAACTGGGACATGATCTCCACCACTACATCACCAAATGCCCAGTTATTAGACCATTCAGGCCCGTTGGCATGAGGTACCTGGAGCTCAGGAATTACTTTATCCTCAAGAACACGAGAGTGAATATACTCATAATGCACCCAAAATTAGCCAGAGCAGGTTACTGAACATATGGCCCTGTATGACTAACCATCCTGTGTGATGGGAACTTTTAGTATCACTGTTACCTTATTCACTCTTATGTTGATGATGATATCCTCATAATGAACCCAGAGTCTGCCAGTGCAGACTACTTATCACATGCCTTTGAATGACTAACCATCCTGTGTGATGGTGATTTTTAGCATCACGTAGCTAGTTTTTTGACAAGCTGTACTCCCCATTTCCGTATTATTATCTCATAGATACATCACCTTAGTGGAGTTCATTGTGCACTGTAGCAGTGTTCTGAAAGATTAAAACAAGTTATGAAAGGTAAAAAGGTAGTTTCGGAATTCTTTGTAAGTGTTGTAACATTTCATTCTAGATTGATGACCTAACTACTGATACAGGAGGTAAATAAATTGATGTAGATTGTAACTACTGATACGGTACCGACACTTAACTGTCAAGCCCGTAGGGGCCTGACAGCTAAGTGGACAGCGCTGGGCAGTTTCTTTCACCCTGATACACCTGTTCACCTAGCAGTAAATAGGTACCTGGGAGTTAGACAGCTGCTACGGGCTGCTTCCTGGGGATGTATAACAAAAAGGAGGCCTGGTCGAGGACCGGGCCGCGGGGACGCTAAGCCCCGAAATCATCTCAAGATAATCTCAAGATAACAGGAGGTAAATAGACTGAAGTAGATTGTAACTACTGATACAGGAGGTGAAGAGGCTTGTTTGTTAAGATGAAATGTATAAAGCAGTTACCTAGTGACAGATAATGATTGCGGGCTCACCATACCCTGTGCTACATGGAGACTCCGTTCTGAGTAGTTAAATCTAAAACAACAACAACAACCATGACAGATAATGGGCTTGCTCTTATCTATGAGATGTCATCCCCCGTCCTGATATCATCAACCACGGTCGTGTTAGGCTGTAATGTGCTGGGGTAGACTCATTATTGAAGGGCGAATCTTTATACAACATTCGTAATTTATAAATATTATTTTAAAATATTGACTTGTTCATAAACATATTTTTAGTTTTCAAGAGACAAAAGTACGATGTTGGTACAACGTTCGAACAAGTTTTAACACCTCCTAACCAGTTATAACAACCAATATAGCAAGTTGTAACAACGTTCTAATACGTCATAAGCCAAGATGTGACAACTTTATTTCAAGTTGTAACAAGCGGAAAATAGAGACAGTTTCGGTTTGTGTTTCCAGGGTTGTGTT